AATATTAGAAACAAGCTACATTAGTGTCCAATTTATGTACAGCATAATTTAATAAGAACCAAACATTTACAGCTACTGAAATAATTTAGGTACATAAGAATAATAAGATGCATTATAGTATTTAAAAATTGTGTTTACTGACTTCAAGCAAAACAGTTATCAGGATGCTCATGGCATTCACCTGAGCTGGTTGAAAGAGGCAGGTTTGTAAAAAATTCTTAAGCTGCCTGACCACAAAAGCGTTTTAAAACTTGAAGATCTTTGTATTTCGGTTCAGGCACAGGAATTGGATTGGTATAAAATACATTGGATCCCAAACATTCATTGTCTGATAAGCAGCGATTATCCATGTTTTTAATGACATACGATTCCTACGCACCATTATATGTATTACGAAGCTGCATTGTTCGTGAATTTGCTCTTGACATTTGCAGTTCTAAAATACTTCTAGTAGGAAAGAGAAATTTCTTTCTATATATACCTTCCAAATACGAGCTCCATTTGCTAAAATCCTGAGTTTGACGTTCTGCAACAACAAAAGGAAATGGTTTAACACGGGATGCTCTAACATGATCATTCCACTCAGAAGGTAGTTTTATATGCACGTTTTGTTTAATATTGCCAATATTTTGTCACATTCACGGATACGAAATGTGATGTGTACTGAATCCAGTGGTTGAGTTTATGCACAAATAAGTGTAGAAATCGTATCAATGTGTAGTTTTTATTCTGACTACCACAAGAATCTCAGAATAACTCAAGATGTCAAACAGTCTTATGTAGGAAAGTTTCTAAAAATAAGTGCATCATAAAAACAACTTTATCTGAACCTTTTTTGGTAATTGTTTGATCATAAGTAAAAAACACAGTCTCACCGGTAGACAAAATATGAACATTAAACATGTAAAATGATAATTGCCGCCAGTAGTAAACATGGTTCGTTGACATATTTGACACTGGAAGATTTTTCATAAAATCAAAACATAAAGTCTCAGAATGAGCATGCTTTCGAGCAGAATGTTTGGCTATTCGCTTACGATCATAAAACGTTTGAGCTTTCTTTATGTGTAATTGTCTTTCACTTTTGTCTTTTGTGTTGTTTTATTTCACTTTCATATATCTTCTTTTCACCACCATTGTTACTCACTTTAATTCCTTCTTCAAGGCTGCACAGTTTTGCTACATATTCATCACACGCTGAACATGTATCACTTCTGGGATAAGCGAAGGATATATTGTATTTTGTTGTCTGTGTCGGAAGATCTGTCTGTATGTTTCATAGGAAACGTTATGTGTAGGACACTTTTCGTTATACATATTATGTAACTTTTTAATATTTAATTCTTCAGGCAAGTATAGTTTAGACGAATCATGACTACTACACTCACCGGCAAAATTAACGGAACACCTTAAAATTGGGACATGTTAGATGTCTCGAATTTCCTAAACCTGTTGTCCGATTTTAGTGATTTTTTTAGTATGTTATAGGTATATTATTTAAGAATATCGATGTAATAATATTGTTGCTAGACAGGTCAATGTCATTTTATACCGGGTGTAACAATCCTACTGTGTTTTTTCCTTAAAGTTCGGAACACCCTGTGGAATATTCTAGCATATATAAAATATTGAAATTAAAACTTAATTATAGCCTCAGGCTTTCTTAACATTTTCTTTTTTGATTCATTTGCTTATGTTTGATAATAAAAAAGTTAGGTACGTTAACAATTAGCCATGTTTTTCATCAATAAATCCTCATTTTCTGCTTAGTTTAAAAACAAGCCTAAAGTAGGCTATGAGAAGTTAACAATTTAATGCACACACCGGCAAATTTAAAGGAACCTGTTATTAATGCAATATTTCTTTATATTTGTATTTTATAGACTATATCTACATAGCTTTGAAAGCTCCTTGTCACAAGAAAGTCTTAAATGTCAAAATGTCAAATTAATTTGTTTATTTGTATTGTGTTTTACATTTTACAGTCATTCTGTCTGTTCATAACAAGTACAAACTTGTATTTAATTGAGCGCACAATAAGAAAGAGACTTAAAGAAGCCGGTCTCAAGTCATATGTGCCAATAAAAGCTCCCAGACTCCAGAGACACCATCGTTTAGCACGACTACAATTTGGTCGAGTACATCAAAATTGGAATGATAACCACTGGAGTCAAATTCTCTTTACGGACGAGAGCCGTTTCTGTGTAAATTACATCGACGGTAGAGAAAGATTGTATTAACGCCAAGGAGAACGAAATGCCCCTTTCAATTTTACTACGACCGTACCTTTTGGTGGAGGTTCAATTATGGTGTGGGGCGGTATATGTTTGGGAGCAATAACAGAGTTAGTGGTGATTGATGGTGGAGCATTAACAGCAGATAAGTATATCAGAGATATTCTCCAAGACCATGTGGTACCTTTTTCACCATATATTGGCGAAAATTTTATTTTATAGTGTAAGAGTGTAAGTGTAAGATATTTCTTATTACAAGTGGGTATAACAACGATGAATTGGCCAGCTTGTTCCCCAGACCTAAACCCGATAGAGGATATGTGGGACATGCTAGGCAGAAAACTTAGGGCACGGGTTCCTGCTATTCAAAACAGAGAAGAAGTCACAATTGCAAAAGATTGAGGAATGGGAGAGGCTGCCCAACAACTGATCGATAGCGTTATCAGAAGTATGAGAAGACGAATAACTGCAGTTGTAAGGGCTCGTAGGGGAAACACACGCTATTAAAGCCAAAAAAAATGCATAAAAAAACAATTTAAGTTCAAACTGTACAATAAAGTTAATGCATTTAAAATCCGTATTTTGTTGAGTCTGACATCTTTGTGTTTTATTTCTTCTTAAACAGGTTTTATATTGTACTACCATTGTAATATAAATTCAAAATACTTCACCAACATTCGTATTATGATATTATCTAAACAGTATATAGACTAGAGAGAAAATACTCAGATTTTATGGTTGTTCCTTTAAATATGCTGGTGAAACTAAGAAGAAAATGAGCATTTATTGATGAAAAACATGGCTAGTTGTTAACGTACCTAACTTTTTTATTATCCAACACAAGCAAATGAATCAAAAAAGAAAATGTTAAGAAAGCCTGAGACTATAATTGAGCTTTAATTTCAATATTTTATATATGCTAGAATATTCCACAGGGTGTTTCGAACTTTAAGGAAAAAACACAGTATGATTGTTACACCCGGTATAAAATGACGTTGACCTGTCTAGCAACAATATTATTTCATTGATATTCTTAAATAATATACCTATAACATACTAAAAAAATCACTAAAATCGGACAACAGGTTTAGGAAATTCTGCCGGTGAGTGTATAATGTGATCTTCTCCCTTTTAACGATCTTATGTGTTCATGTATTTTGTTTTTTGTTTCATCGGTTAACGAATGAACCCTATTTTTGTGTTTTCCTTTGTCATCAGAGCCTCCCCAGTCGTGACGAGTGCCTTTTTATTGTATTTATACGTTGTTGGTTTGTAATGCCATGGATGGAAAGAAAAGCCTGATGACATATAGGCACTTCTGTTATTATATTATCACTTATTACTCTAATTTTGAACGAATATGATTATTCGCGTAAGTGACTCTTATCTATTCAAGGACGTCTGCGTTCAATTGGTTTAACTGTTATTAAACCATTTTTTTTTCTTGGCTTGGACAATTGTCATTCAGCCAGTCTCCACCAACATAAGTTTTGTTAAAGAATTTAAATATGTCAATTAGTGAAACATGATTAATATAATAATAATAACAGCTAAGCTAATGTACATACTATGTTAATAAATACTATATCATTAAACCATTTAAATGTCTATCTTGCTCGTTTTAACTTCCAAGAAGATTAAACTTTCGAAGAACTTCTTTTCCTTCATTTTCAGCAATGACAGTAAAGCATTTCAAACGTGTACATTTACAATCCTCACCTTCAATATGACTCATTGCTCGATTTTTTTTCTAAGCGTCACTTAACCTACCGTATTTTGCACACTTCTTTGCTCCACAAGCTTTTGCTAAACATGTTCATCTTCATCACTACTTATATTTTTCATTGTTATAATAAAATTCACACAATGAACTGAAATAAAATGTATGTTTGGGAAAGTTATATAAACACAATCGAACACTACAAGAAAAATACTTTTGGAAAAAACCGAACAAATACAAGACTACGCTTTAAACAATGACAATACAATATTGGCGACTTTGAATTAGCTACTGAATTAGCCAAGTAGACAAAAACAGATAAGCTTCTCTGTTTATTGTGTTCAAAACATAGATGCCATCTGGGCTTTAATTGTTGTTTCCTTTCTGCCTGTGGACTCTGACTGTTACTTGCCTGTACAGTATATTTTCAAACGTTAATAACTATGGACTTAGACTATATTTTGCATTTTTTACATCTAGAATATTAATTCTGATGGTTCAGTACCTACAGAATGGCGTGAAAAACTCAATTTTGAAAAAATGTGACTTTTTTCAAATGTCAAGTATTTTTGAAAATTTTTCGTATAAGTACATCTAATACGTATAAGTGCGACAAAAACACACCATAAATAGATGCAGATCCAGAATAGATGCATGTCGGAGTAAAAGGTGATTCTTAGAGTCATTCAACAGCCTCCATAGACTTCACGTGAATTTACGGTTCACCTAATTCGCTATCGAAGAGAGGTCTTTCGACTTCTTGTTACTTCGTATAGATGCCGCTCCTAGCGTACTTGGCTGGTAATTTAATTATAATGGCCAAATACTAGACTGCATTTCATTTAAGTGTGAACATCGACAAGTGTTCCTGATGAGGAATTAAATAACTCGAAACACGTGTAGAACACTGGTGGAATTAGAATTAAAATAAAATGCAATCTTTTACTTTCATGTATATAATTTTATATGTAATTTTCATATATTTTTTTTTCTATTTCTGTGACTTATAAAGTTTTTTATTAATCCACTGTTAAAATTCTTTTTAGAAACGAAATGTCCTGCAAATTCAACACAAGGATGTACCCCATGCCCATGTCCTGATCCAACCTGCAGGAACAGAAAACCAGAATGTTCTGACAAACCCTGCACAAAAGACTGCAAACCGACATGCAGATGTGACAAAGGTTTCATCTACAATGATATTGGTATTGTTCGTGGTTGCGTACGTCCTGGCGATTGTCCCAAAATTTAATTGCGACAAACTGATTTTTGGTTTTTCTTGTGTTGTTTTTTTGTTAAAATTTGGTTAAAATATGTTATAAATCTTGTTGCTAATTGTGTTAAATAATAAGTAGAATTAGTTTTATATTTTTGTTTTTATTGCCTATTATTGTAGAAAATAAAAAATTGGACCAGTTGTCCAGTAAATTTAAGTACAATAATTTATATTTTACAATTCTATTTTCACCAACGATTCCTGGGTATAAATGCTGTCTTCAATAACATCTTAGTATTTTTTAATGTAAACCAGACCATTCCAGACAACGAAAACCAACAGGCAAAAGGCTTTCTTTTACACCCAAGAATAGTACCTACGGTCAGTCGTCAGCTACTACAAGTTAGACATACCAGCGTCTATTACACTAAAAATCTACAAAAAGAAAAACTCATAGACGAACCTACACTCTAGATATGGAGTTTTCAATTGTTGATATGTTGACAGTTGATTGGAAAACTTTGAGTAGAAAAAACGGAAACCAAACAGGTGTAATGCTTTCAAATTTCATAGATAGCCTGGTAATAAATACGTTCTTTGATCTGAACATCATCGAAGTAGATTGCCCAGAAAGTAACAAGCCTCAAACAAATAGGGAAACGATTTATGACCAACTACAACAAATATTATTTTAAGTCAGAGTAAAAATGATAAAATTGGGGGATTTTAACGCTCGAATAGGCAATCAAATAATACCCAGAGTTAAGCAAAAACATAACGATAATGTTAAAAACGAAAATGGAGAACTAATGATCAACTTCTGTACAAATAACTAACGTCTGCAAGAATAAACAACTCAGTTTTTAAACACAAAGACCAACACAAATATATATTTAATAACACCTGTAGACAAAGATCTATGATAGATTATGTTATAATCAACAGAGATATACATCCATCGAAAATAATCAACTGGTAGCGACCATAGCCTAATATTATGTAAAATAAGAATCATCCTGAAATACTTCACACCAAAAGAGCGACGCCAACACAAACAACAATCAAAGTCGAAGGACTAAATACGGAATCCACGAAATACTTATACAGAAAAAGAATATCAGAGAAGATCATTGGGAATAAAATATTAGAAAACGATAACATCGAGAAAAGCTGGGAAAACTCAAAAACAACATAATTAACGCAACAACAGAATCACTTAGAGAGAAGGAAGTAACGAACACTAACATATCAAAAAAGAAAACACCATGGTTTAGAGAGGAAGTGAAGACAAAAAAGACAATACATGACACAAGAGGCATATAACCACTATAAACGAATCAGAAATAAAACGAATACTTTAGTTAGACAAATAAAAAGAGAACACTGGCAGAGCTTCTCAAAACAGATGGAACACGACTACGAAACACAAAAAGAAATATTGAGAATGATCAGAGGACAAAGAAAATAGATGAACGAACTAATAAAAATGAAACAAGTTCAGAAGGAAACATGGGTAGACTACTTTCGATCCCTATTTGCTAAAGGTGACGATAATGAACCACCAACACCAGAGGTGACGACAAACGAAGAAATAAATATTGAGGAAGAAGAGGTAAAGGAAGCATTAAGGAAATTAAAAAATAGAAAATCACCAGGAGAGGACAGAATACCGAACGAACTCCTAAAGTACGGAGGACCAGATCTGACCAAACAACTATTAAAACTAATCCAAAAAATAATAGAACAAAACAGAATTCCTCAAGAATGAGATCAAGCATCCTAATACCTCTCTTCAAAAAGGAAGACAAATCGGAACCGGAAAATTACAGAGGAATTAATTTTTAAACACAACACTAAAATTAACAACCAAAGTGTTGAAAACAACAAACAAATAAACTAAATGAAATTGTAACACTAACAGAAGAACAACAAGGTTTTAGGTCGATAAGATCATGCACAGACGCTATATTTATATTGAGGAGAGTGCCAGAGAAATCATTAGAATACAACAAACCGGCATATCTGTGATTCTTGGACCTTAAGAAGGCATTTGACCGTTAAATTAAAGGACTTTATCCACTTATTGTACGCAAGAGAAACATCTCTATAAATAATCAAAACGATCGAAAATAATTACCAAAACAACACAAGAAAAGTAAAAGTAGAAGAAAAATTAACCGACTATTAAAGCTGACAATGGGATAAGACGTCGAGATTTCCTAAGTCCTCTATTGTTCAACCTGATTATGGATGAAATAATAAAAAAAGTCTTCTTCTTCTTCTTCTTCACGTGCCATCTCCGCGACGGAGGTTGGCAATCATCATGGCTATTCTGATCTTAGATGCTGCTGCTCTGAATAGTTCAATTGATGTGCATCCGTACCATTCCCTCAAGTTACGCAACCATGAGATTCTTCTTCTTCCTACACTTCTCTTGCCCTGGATTTTCCCTTGTATAATCAATTGAAGTAGGTTGTATCTCTCATTACGCATAACATGCCCCAGGTATTGCAGCTTTCGTGTCTTGATGGTTTCCAATACTTCCATTCTTTTGTTGATTCTTCTCATGACTTCGTTGTTTGTCACATGCTCGGTCCATGATATCTTCATGATTCGTCTATATACCCACATTTCAAATGCTTCCAACTTTTTAGCAGTCGACGCGTTAAGTGTCCATGCTTCCATCCCATAAAGCAGAGTCGAGAAAATATAACACCTTGCCAGCCTAACTCTCAAGTCCAATTTTAGTTCTCTTGCACAAAGTACCTTTCTCATTTTATTGAAGTTTGTACGTGCTTTCTCTATTCGAACTTTGATTTCTTTGGAGTAATCGTTTGTGTGATTAATTATTGTGCCAAGATAGTGGTAGTTTTCAACTTGTTCTAAAGCAGTACCGTTAATTGTCAGGCTTTCACCATTATTTTGGGTTTTCGATATCCTCATAATTTGGTTTTCTTGGTGTTTATTGATAATCCATATTCTTCTCCATACTCAACTATCTTGTTCATTAGCTTTTGGAGGTCTTGGAGGTTGTCTGCTATTATGATAGTATCGTCCGCATATCTAATGTTGTTAATTGGTGTTCCATTGACCTTGATTCCTGTTGTTTCTTCCTCAAGAGCTCTTTTCATAATTTCTTCAGAGTATGCATTGAATAGTAGTGGTGACAATACACACCCCTGTCGCACTCCTCTTTTAACTTCGAACTCTTCTGATGTGTGTTCATTAATGCGTACGTGTGCCTGCTGTTTATAATATAGATTTGTTATAATTCGAAGGTCATTGTGTTGTAGTTGTTTTGCTTTGAGGATGTCCATTAGCTCTTTGTGGCGGACTTTGTCGAAAGCTTTGTTGTAGTCTATGAAACAGACGTACATATCTTGGTTCACATAGTAGCATGACACATAGTAGCAAAATAGCATGGAACCTTGTGAAAAAACTCAGCGGTGATCCAAAAGAACATAAACCACCTTGCAAGGTTACAGCAAACCAAGTCGCTACTCAACTCCTTATGAATGGAAGAACTACTAACCGATATAAGGACCCAAACACTAGGAGAAGATTGGATTCGGAGACAAACCACCTAGGAACTCCTTTTACACTAAAAGAACTCCACGACGGTCTGAACAGGTTAAAAAACGGGAAAGCTGCAGGTGTGGATGATATATGCAGTGAACAAATAAAGCATTTAGGCCAAGGAGCAAAAAACTGGATCTTGCAATTTTATAACACGTGCTGCAAAACCTGCAAAATTCCAAAATCATGGAGGAAATCTAAAGTAATAGCCTTGTTAAAACCAGGAAAGGATCCAGAAGACCCCAGTAGCTACAGACCTATTTCGCTATTGTGTCACTTTTTTAAACTATACGAGAGACTCATACTCGCCAGAATAGAAAAAAATGTCGACAAGCACCTCATCCCACAACAAGGAGGATTCAGACCTGGCAAATCTTGCACCGGTCAAGTCCTCGCATTAACAGAACACATTGAAGAGGGCTTTGAAGAAAAACTTATAACAGGGGCTGCTTTTGTAGATCTGACAGCAGCCTATGACACAGTAAGGCACAAAACATTGCTCCGCAAATTATACGATACTCTCAATGACCACCATCTGGGAAAGGTCGTATATTCCTTACTGCAAAATAGACGTTTTTTCGTTATGCTGGAGGGTAAAGTAAGTAGGTGGAGAGTTCAAAAAAACGGCCTCCCACAGGGAAGTGTTTTAGCACCAATGCTCTTCAATATATACACAAACGACCAACCTACTCCGACCGAAACCAAGCACTTCCTCTATGCTGACGATCTTGCAATATGTGCTCAAGGAAATAGTTTTGAAGAAGTGGAGGAGAAACTCGAAACTGCCTTAAAAACAATGACAGCGTACTACCTGCAGAATTCTCTGAGACCCAATCCCTCTAAAACCCAAGTCTGCGCTTTCCACCTTCGCACAAAGGAAGCCAAGCGAAAACTCCAAATTGTGTGGAATGGTAATACATTAGAACACACAAACCAACCTATATATCTTGGAGTAACTCTGGACCGGTCCCTCACCTACAGACAACATTGCATAAAAACAAGAGGGAAAGTAACAACTAGGAACAGCATACTCAGAAAGCTAACGGGAAGTAAATGGGGCGCACGTCCTGGCGTTTTAAGAACAACGGCACAGGCACTGTGTTTCTCAACTGCTGAATATGCATGCCCCGTTTGGAGCAGATCTGCCCACACCAAACAAGTTGATACTGCGCTAAATGAGACATGCAGGATAGTAACGGGGTGCATGAAACCAACGCCACTTTCAAATCTATATAGAGCAGCGGGTTTTGCAGAACCCTCAACACGCAGAGGCGCTGCAGAACACATAGAGAAAATTAAACAGATCGCGGACGATCGGCATGCCCTATACAAAGCTCGAACACCACGAAAGCGACTAAAATCTAGGAAAAGCTTCCTTGGAACAGTGAAGGATGAACCGCCTGAGTATTTTCCACTTCCCCAGGTTCAATGGACCGGCCAGACCCTAGACTTTAAAACGTGGAAAACCTTGAATAGGATAAGAACGGGGGTTGCTACAGTAAAATCAAACATGGCAAAATGGGGAAAAATAAACCAAGATGATGTGAACTGTGACTGTGGAGAAACACAGAATATGGAACATCTTCTTACATGCAGAAACTGTCCTCATCGATGTACCCTTGAAGATTTGTGGCTCGCCAACAAAGATGGAACCGACGTAGCCCGATACTGGGCAGAAATTTTATGAATGACATGTCCGGACACGATAAAGTAAAGTAAGTTGGTTCACATCCAAGCATCTCTGGATTAGTACGTTGAAT